GAGCAAAAAAAATCTGGCAAGAGCCAGGTGAGCCCATGTCGTGCATGAGGGGTTTTGGAGTTAAGCACCGTGCACAAATTCCGAACCGTCAGCCGCACCTCTCGATACCATAACTCTACACAGCTCAACCTTGAGGACGTAATGCCCGCTAAAAGTGGCTTCCACTTCCAAACGCACATCAAATATAGACTATCATGATTATAAGAGACATTTAACAAAAATCATGGGTCGGCCCATTCATGGGTTCGACGTATGCTTGTAGGAGATGTGTCGTCATGAACAGGCACATCAAGGAAAATAGAGCTCTGGCTACCAATGTTCATGAAGATATCACGCTGTGCAGCATCGACTGTATGGCAAAAGACCTGAAGGATGGCATGGCAAAAGCCATATGTCACGAAAAGCATTGAAGGCGCGAAGGGGTAACTTCCAAATCCCCTGCTGTAATTGCCAGTGGTTCTGGCACCACCAGCAGTTTGAGCCCCATATTGAGCCAAAAAATTCACACACACACACACACATATATATATATATATATACATACAGTATACATATGTATATATATATACACATGTCATATCTGTATATATACATCTTATATAGTACTAGTATCATAATACACATAAATATAGCAGTATAGAGAGAGTGTGAGAGAGATAAATAGGTCAGGTCCATAAACGGGGTTTCGTATTTGGTGTTGCCGGTGCTCAGGCGCCTTTGGTATTGCAGTTCTAGAGACTCTTGAGGATTGGGTTTGGGCCCGGGGTTTTACAGGGTTTAGGGGTTGGGGGGTTAGGTTGCGTGCAAGCTTGGTTTTCGAATGCGGATGCAGGAATGGTGCTTCGGCTTGGGCTCGAATTGGGGTGAGTGGTTCAGGATTGTCAATTGTGGAATAGAGTGCTCTGAGTTGTTTAAGCCGAGTTCGATCACATAGCTTCATACTCGAAAAGCAAACCCCGACTTAACTGAAAGCTAGCAAACCCTATAACTTCGGTACATATATACAAACCCAAACCTAAACCCTGGACCCTTAAGCCCTGAACCCCGCGACCCTGCATCCCTAAACACACCTGGACAATAAACCCTACACCGTATCTGACTCCTCCAACCACATTAAATCTTTCAAACAAATCAGCAACCAACTAGTCCCGCAAAATCAAAGAACTATCACCCCAACCCCCGACCCCCCAAACCACTCGACACTTAAACCCTAAACCCCACCTCCCCTAAAACCTATATGCCCCAAACCCTGACCTTGAACAAGCCCACCTCGATCCTGACACTTTCCACATGGCGGAGCTCTCCGACTTGCCGATCACGCGAGCACGCCATGTGCTCAGCTGTCCATATTTAGGACAGCTTTGTCGAGGGCTTCTTTGATTTGTACAAGGTTGCGTAGTAACAGATTCTTTTGAGCTGTTTGCACACTTACACGACGGTAGACCTTCATGCAATACTTCACCCAGTCTTCATCGTACCAGCAAGCATCCCATCCGTAGTTTCGCCCCGTGCCGTCGATTGCGGCTTCAGTGATAATGTGATGTACATGGTGTATTTTCGGGCGAAGTTTGAACAGCTTTTCAGAGTTGAGAAATGCTGTGCGGGCAAGATTGGAATACGTTGATAGAAATGCCAAGCCAACAGCTTCGATGTTGGCCTTCTCCTCGACACTGAGAAAAACACCCCCTTCTGTAATGGTGCGCGACAGGTGGTCTGCACTCCAAACACATGATAGCAGCCCAGCATAGGGACTCTCAGGGGGCTTTGCTTCCAATTTCGAGGCTAGCCATGAAATGATCACGGCCGTGTCGTAAGCACTGGCGTGTAGCTCAGGACACTGATCCACATACCAATGCAAAGACGATTTCTTCAAATACTTGATAGAAAGCTGCTTGCCACGACCTTTGGCAAACTCTTTGATGTCACGTGTCATAGCCCGCAAACGCAGCTGGATGTTTCGCAAAGGATACCAAAACTTGCACCTGGCCATTATCTTTAAGGCCGCACCAGCCAAATCACGGCCCACTCCCATGTGCCAACAATGCATCCAATCGGCCCTTATAAGCCTTGCAGAAAAAAACGACATCTTTGCAAACTCCGGGCACTCGTCCCAAGGTTCCGGTGCGGTGCTCTGTGTGCCACGCCACCCTGCTGTTGCCGAGAAATCCGTATAGACTGTGCTCCAGTCTCGTCGCCCCATACTAGCCAGACATTTGAAGCACACCTGTTCTGGGTGGTTTTGGGTTTAGGATAGGGGCTGCCAGGGGAGGGGATCGATTTTTGCACATAAAACTTTAACTCTCATCCTTAAACCACAATAAAGATCTATCTGTTTATCTATCTAAAGATCGAGTATAGCTCCCACACTTACTACTCCGCATTCTGCGGGGATCTTGTACGAATACTATAGGAATCATTAGCACATATTATCTCGATAAACATCCATAAGATCCCTAACACCCTTGTAGCAAACCCTGGCCCATGAATCCCCAAAACAAACACATCACACGCCCAGGCTGGTCCTGCTCTTTCCCCGGCTTCCTCTTGAAGTTGAAGGCTTGCGCGAGGTATTTTAAATCTCCACGGAAGCCAACTGGGATAAAGTATATCGTCTTAGTCTCGGGTTTGTGCAATGTAAACTATTGGTTGCCAAATACTTATACTGGATTGGAGATCATCTCACTATGTAATGAGGCCTCATAGGAAACAAGAGCATGAAAGCAAATTAATGACACCTCCAAGAAACGCCCGCATCAGTTTCGATGCCAGAGTGAATCAACTTGTTGATGTCTGCAACAATTGCTGCATTCATGCCTTGCAATGTCATGTTCGTGCCTTCTTCCACCCAGTACAGTTCTGTAGGAATGGAGTACAGTATGTAGCGGCTCGCCTTTGAGTTTGTCCGGAAGCAAGAAAGGTCGGGAGTCCTTGGCTTTTGAGGGTTCAGGTTTACCGACAACACAATATTTAGCAGATACAATTCAATTGGGTTTTAGGTCTCAAGATCAGTAAAATAATTACATATAGGAAACGGAAATCAACACCTGAGTTTATATCATATTTCCCAAGCATAGATTCCAGCTGGTAACCATCCAACTTCGCCTGGTAACAGTTCCCTCATCACCCCAGAGAACTATCGGCACACACTGAGCCATGTCCCGCCCGGCCGCGTACTCCTGAAACCCAGGGCCCATATCATGAGCCATGTGTTGCCAATATTTTCGCAACCCAGCAGGCTTCGCCGACACCATTGTTCTGCCGAAGCCGGCCTGGACGAGAGCAGAAGCCTGGGCCGGACATCCAGTCGTAAGGTTTTGGAACAGGGGTTAACATATTGTTATCTCCTATAGTACCTAAATTTTATTAAATAATCTCGGCTAGATACCATCTCCGAGGGCAGAATCACCGGCATGGGTTCAAAGGCCATTTCATCATCTGCATTGCATATAGGCACCGTTGCCCAGGAAAGGTTTGCTTTCAATGCATGACCAGATTTTGCAAGTCGTTGATGAAGTTCGTCTTCTCGCAACGGTCGTGAATCATAGCCACTCATGAGACTAGATCCATAAATGTCTCCTGCATCAGAAATTTCTAAAGCATAACTTAGAAGCTGCCCCCACCCTGTAATAGTGACCATCACGATTATATAGGATTATATTAGGGCCCTATTCAATGGAATAGAATTCTATTCCTATGATACCACTATTACAGGGTGGGGGCAGCTTCTAAAGCATAACACACAAAGTTGACCCTGGACCCTGAACTGTGCCAGAACCCAAAAGTTTAAAGAACGCTTCGAGTGGGAGTTAAGGGTTCAAGGGAGCCGGGTTTAGGGCTTAGGGCATCAGGGGTTTAGGGTTTAGGGGTTTAATTTTTTTGGGCTCCCAGTTCGCAGGCCAAGGAGATCGTGTTGTCGCCACCAGCAGTAGACCTGGCCAGCCTTATTTGTGCATGGACGCAGCACAGTTAAATTCAATACCTTGCCCACAACATCATTCGTGTTTGAAAACAGATGCAAGCCAGCAGCACATTGTCCAGCTTGTGCGTTACACCAGCATTCTTGCTAGTGCGTCCAGTACCTGCTTGGTTGCAAACTACCCCACACCGCCTAAGAATTCGCTTTAGCTCATGCACACATGTGCACACAGATTGCAAAACTCGCGTAGGTTTTGCACCAGGCACTGAAGCTCCAAACACTCGACCTCACACAGCTCACCCATGATAGCACGGGGACCCCGGAGCGCAAGGCGAGCATAATAGAGGCTGCACAGGAACACTGCTGATGGTTGACATCCAGCGGACACATTATGGCCTAAAGCATTTGCAACCATAGCTTCTAGCACATATCCTAACCTTCGGCTGTACTTTGCTATGCCATCGGCCATAGGAATATACGAAAACTTAGATAGCACTTTCGCTTTGCGAAGCTCAAGCGTGCTTGCGTAGCTCACTCACCAATGCCCGTGCTTGGGCCTTCTCCATCCTGAGCTCCATGACCTTAGAGATTGGCTTATCGAATCACCCCAAGCAAAGCAACCCCCCCTAGGCCTAAATCCTTAAACCCTGAAGCCCTTAACCCCTTAAACCCTTAAGCCCGAGACCTCAACCTTACCCAGGTAGCCTGGTCGTGGATTTGCTGGCAGATGGGGTCCATTTCCTCGGCGGTCTTCAGCTCCTTGAACCTTATGTGTGGAGTTAAGGGATATCGGGCCAGAGGTTATCACCGGGATCTCGTTCATGGCTGGAAGCTTTTTGGCATAATTCTTGAGTTTCTTCTCGTAACGAACCAGAGTCGATTTCATATCGGTCTCCTTGTTCGAATCGCCCAAATCGAGCATCAGGTTGGAGAGGCCATTGATCTCCTTCTTGAGCTCTTGGCCTGGGTATGCAAAACAATACAGAATTCAACTGCAGGGTCTCAGGAATTATAGGCACTGTAGCTTCAACCTTGGGGTCTCGGGTTTAGGTTTCCGGGCTTCGCATTTGTGATTGGATTGAGCCTAGAAACTCCATCGCTGATGCTTATCCTCATCCGTCCTGAAGACTTCGTTGAGCAAGCTTGCCCTGGTTTTTGTCGTCGCAGCAGAAGCCACAGATTTCGCACCAGCACGTTTCTTCGGTGCTTTCCCACGACCGGCACCACTAGCATTGCCTTTGGGTGGCACGTAGCAGCGTAGCACGAACTTAATCAAACCGCAGTTGCATTCACACAGCTCAGACAAGCCACAGGCCGCAGCAGCAGCTTCCTGAAGCCCGGTGTTGTACTTGTCAAAGGCCTTGAGCACATCCCCATTTAAGGGGTGCGCAGCAGTCGCAGGGGCACTTCGGTGCAAAACCGACGGCAAGCCGTTCGACCCCAAGCCAGCCATGAAAGCTTCATCGGCTACCGCATTGACTTTGATCTGAGCACGGATCCTGAGTATTGACTGCAGATCGCAATAGGATTGCACAAACACACATATCCTATCCTTTATGGCATCAACTAAGTAGCTTTGATTGCTCCATCTCGGTCTTCTCGCGGTCCACCACGACCCAAAAGCGCGTCAGGGAAAGGTTGTCAGGGCTGTGTTCATCTTTTTCGCCTCCTCCTTGAGCAATGATCCCCTCAATCTTGTCCCTTGGTGTCGACAGCTTCCAGGATTGTTCAGGGTTTTTTGGTTTGATATATATATATATATATGTGTGTATGCATACATATGTCGTATACAACCAAGGCACGGAGGAAAGGAGTAGGGTGCTTTCGGCATGTCGCACACACGCAGCTGCTTCCACACACGCTTGCCTGTGAGGCTTTGCTCCTTTAACACCAGCAGCTCTGCCTCACAAGCTTTGCAATTCTGGCCGTGAGAGATGAACTTTCTGAGCACCTTGTTCTTCTCCTGAGCACAGAGGATTACCATGCAGGGGCCATCACACACAAGCCAAGCAGTCCTGGAGGTTGCTTTCCCAGAGATTCGACATCTCCGGGAAAGCCGCCAGCTTGCCCGCATCGTACAGCCGGTTCTTAGCACAAACAACCACACACACACACACTCACCCACATATACAGTCCTGAAACCACAAGACCACAACTCACAATTGAGCCCAGAAACAAGTTTGGCATATTCCTTTGGATGGGTAGAACTGTTCACCTTCACCTCAGGCTCCTGGGGATCAGAACACTGTGGCACCTCGGCGGGAGCAGCTGGTAGAGCCGGTAGAGCGGCTGGAGCAGGGGCTCGAACAGGCGTGGCAATAGGTCTCGTCATTGCAGGGGTGGCATCCTTAGGATCCTCCTGAATAGTCTTGGCTGACAGCGGCTCCACACCTTTTGTTGGGCTAGCAGAACCGAAGGATGTAGCATTCTGTCGTCGCAGCATATCCTGCAAATGCTTGTTGTGAATTTCAAGCTGTTGCATCCTCTCAACCAACGAGTTCAGGGTAGATGCATCCGACCCAAGAGCACTTGCTGAAGGCCCAAGCCTCAATGCAGCAATACTGGAATAGAACTAGACAAGGCCAACGCACAATAGTTCAGGCAAAGTAGCGTCGAAGTGGAAGTCGTACGGTGAACGGGGCTGAGGCGTGTGGACTTGCCAGCGATGCTCTGCTGGCCCAAGACAAGGGTGGTCGAGGACCTGAAAGCTCCGTCTAAACCCGATAAATCCTAAGCCCCTATTTGAACCACTAGAAACATAAAACCCCGAATGTATACCCAATACTAAAATTTAAGTTCTCTGCATCTGCATCTATATCTGTATATATTCATACATCTATACTATATATCTATATCTATGTCGGTATCTAAACTCAAGCATAATAGCTAGTATAGGCCCCACCACAAAGCACCATTCTGAACCCCACCACAAATTTTGTTATACTTTGCTACTACAATAAGTTAATTCCCTACAATAAATTGCAAAACGAAGCCTTCATATTCCATGTGCTGATTTACAGATAGGTGACAAGAGAGACTCCGTGTCCAAGGGTTGGGTGTCCGCTTGGCTTGGATCATGGGGCATGCACGGGGTCCCTGTTGGTGTGCTTGCGGCTTCTCCTGTGGTCCTCTCCTCTGGTTCGGCAGGTCCTGTTGGTGTGCTTGCGGCTTCTTGTGTGGTCCCCTCCTTTGGTTCGGCAGGTCCTGCTGGGCAAGAGAGTGCCAGGGCTTGCTCCTGGCCATCCACAAGCGCTTCAAGCTTGGCTTCCAAGCCATCCCCATACTTATGCTCCCAATAAGCGTCCCAAAAGCCAGGGTACTCCGCCTCCCAATCATACTCATCTGTTGAGCCTTCCCAGCCTTCCTCCCAGCCTTCCTCCCAGTCTCCCGAATCCTCCCAATCCTCTTCCAAGCCCTCGTTCTCATCCCACGGCTCACCATCGAGGTCCTCGACCTCGTTGGCGGACTCTTGCTTCTTATTCTTCAGCACGTTCTCCTTCTCTGTGCCGAAGAAATCAGCGACATCCTGTGCACTTGCGGGAGCAAAGACCATAGGATCTGGGCCCGGATCCTCTGCCTTTGCCTTCTTTGGCTTCTTGGTGGCAGGCTGCTCAGGAGAGGGAGGACGCTTGCCGGTGACTCGCGTTTTGGTGTCGGCTGCTTTCGGGGCTTTTGCCTTAGGGGTGGGCCCGCTCGGCAGACCCTGCTCCTCACACGAAGCCTGCCACGCAAGGAAGACAGCTGTGGCCTCCTCACGTGTGATGCCCTCTGCCTTCATGAGCTTCCGTAGGGTGGTACCACAGAACTCGGTGTTCAGGGGAACCTCAAGGTCTACGGCCTTGGAGCTGCCACGTCCATCCTTCGCCTCCCTTAAGGCACCTTTAAAGGCTTTGCCGGCTTTAAGCACCTTCCCGATGTCTTTTGCCATTGCTAGAGCCGAGGGCACAGTATCACCATATGATTGAGCCTAAAGCACAGGATTTTAGAGTACGCGCAGGCCAAAAAAATAGGGTACGTGCATTTCTACGCTTTCGACGCGGTTTTAACTAGCATTTCAGTGGATTTTAACTAGCGCTCGAACGTTTTCGACGCGCACCCTTTTCATCCCAGGACCTCAGATCTTGATGAAACTTGAATTTGCCCAGCTAGCATATATGACATAATTGGTTTAGGGGACACTATATAATAGGTTTTTGGGTCTATATTAGGTATAAATATATACATATTATCAAGCTAGGCACTTAATTAATCGAGGGCAGAACTAACCAAGCTAGCGATATCACCTGTGGAGGATCACGGCGGTGGTGGCCCAAAGACATCCTTGGGCGTGCAGACAACCCTGGCTGCATCATCGATCTTGCTCCGGTACGTATTAATATATATATATATATATATATATATATATATGGTGGTTGTTCAGGCGGATATATATATATATATATATATATATGTATATCCGGGGATCGAATTTTCAGGGTTCGGGACGATCGCAAAGTTCGGGTGATCGGGACTGCGGGTCGTCGTGCTTCAGCAGACCAGACTTTGCAGTCTGCGGGTGTGTGTGTGTGTGTGTATGAGCTAGTGAGAGAGTGTGTGAGAGTGTGAGAGAGAGAGAGAGAGAGAGAGAGAGAGAGAGAGAGAGAGAGAGAAGGGGGCTGTTTGAATACGCTCCTTCCCCTATCGAAAGAGAGGGAGAGAGAGAGAGAGAGAGAGAGAGAGAGAGAGAGAGAGAGAGAGAGAGAGAGAGAGAGAGAGAGAGAGAGATAGATACAGAAAGGGAGAGGGAGAGAGAGAGAGAGAGAGAGAGAGAGCAAGACTTTCCCAGAGCGACAGCCAGAGCCAGAGCGAGAAAGAGAGGGTCAGGACTAATGTGGAACTACAACAGAATCTGACCTTGGGGCTAACCATATTTCAGCCCGGTATAGACACCCTTGGATCTAAAACCCATAAAGCTCTACAATTCCTTGAAGCTTCAGCCCTCCACCCACAACCCGGAACCGCAAAAACCCGAAGCTCAAACTCGCAACCCTATCACATTCGGACTAACCCTGCTTTGGCCTGGTAGACTACGTCCTTTAGCTAAAGCACAGCAAAGTATCCTAAAGCTTCAGCTCTCAAGCCACAACCCGGAACGGCAAAACCCGAGCCCCCAAACCCTAAAGCTTAAACCCGACCTAAGGCTAACCGTACATACATAAGGCCAGTATATACCTTAAAACCCCAGATCTGAAGCCTGACTAATTATCGTAAACTTTGAGCCCTGAACCCACAACCCTGAACCACAAAGCCCAAAACCCCAACCTTGAAGCTTCAATCTGAAACCATGATCCTTGCGAAGAACGAGGATACTTACAGTGTCACCATCTCATCTAGCTCCTGTCTGTAACTTCTACATCCTGAGGACCTGAAGGTTCAAAGTCCAAGCAGTATACCACGTATCGTGTTAAAGCTATATCATCAGCTATGTGCTCCAGTCGCATAAGCGAGCCTTATCCCACCAGCCACACACGTCAAGCCGAGCTTCGTTGAAGCATCGTGTGCTCGACACCTTGTCCTTGTTCGGCTTCGGGATATACCTCAGTTAGTGTACCTACTTGAAACCAAAGCCAGACCAGGGATCCCTTACCAAAGAAGTTGCGAGCACAGCCCATAATGATATCAACACAGCCCAGGTGCTTCTGGAGACGTTCACGAACACCGTCCTTAGCGAAGACCATGGTTATCGACCAGGCAGCATCATAAATCGGAATTGGTTTGGGTTTGCCACTGCAGACATGGTTCCCACTGCCCAGGCAGGGTCAAATGCTTGCTGTAGAGCAGGTAGCCAGCACATTCAAGCATCGTAGCCTTATTTCTCCAAGGGCATAACACATCAACAGAAGGGGCTGATGTGCTACACCACCAGAGAGGAGAGGTAAGTCTAGAACGGTATCACACAGCGGATTGTCCCACTTTCCAGCGTCCAGCTCGGCCACGAATAGCTCATAATCGGTCTTCGACCAATCGATCGATACATCCACCCGAGGCTGCACAGGCTGCACCTCTCAACCACAGCAGCAAAAGCTTTTACAAGCATATAATCAAATGACAAGTGACAGGACCAAAAGCTACAACAACAAGATCTAGCACCACACAACCCACCGCCACCACCACCACCACCACCCACCACCCACCACCACTACCGCCACCACCACCACCACCACCACCACCACCGCCACCGCCACCGCCACAACCACGACCACCACCACAACCATCGCCGTCGCCACCACCGCCCCCGCCAACACCAACAACAACAGCAGCAACAACAACAACAACAACAACAACAACAACAACAACAACAACAAGAACAACAACAACAACAACAACAACAACAACAACAACAACAACAACAACAACAACAACAGTAATTAATTCTCGCTACAGCAGCAACACCACCACCGGCAACAACAACACCGCAACCACCACCACCACCACCACCACCACCACCACCAAGCAGCAGCAGCAGCAACAGCAGCAGTACACATCTCGGGCAGCAGCACCTCAGGTTCTCGTTGGACATAGGCTGCAATGGCTTGCGCAAACTTCGGCGGGTATGTCCTCGGGTGGGCGTAACACACATCGGATAGGGCCCTTTGGGAAGATAACGGACGGATCAGAAAAACAGAATTTGCGATCTAGTGTCTGGCTCTGCTTCAGCAATTTACGATCACCCGTAAATCGCTTTTCATTGCGGCGAACAGCACTGGGGTGCTTTGATGTATAAGCATGCTGTCGGGATAACTTTACCTTCACAAGGGCGGCTTTGTCCTTCTGGGTCAGGGCACCAGCAACGGATTCCAGGTGTTTCACCATCCAGGAGTCATTCGAGATTGCAAAGTGTCTCTTCACGGACGGGGACCCAAAGTGGCACATGTACCAGAATCCACGAAACACCTGGGTACACCAATACAATGATAACGGCCACATCAGCGCAAACTGCAACAACATGCATATGCAGCTACGCAACTGGACACCTCCGACAAAGGTACTCAAAGGCTGGGTTGTCCAGGAAGCAGGATTGCGCAGGTTGCTCCAGGAGAAACCGAATATTTCTCCAATAGAAGATGAACAGCAGCAAGCACACTCGAGAAGCAAAGACATTACCGCTGTTCACAAAGCCGTAGCCTGTGTTGCCCTCTGGATGAATGGCCGTCCGGCCCGAGGTCGAACGTGACCTTGCACACTGCGGCTTCATAAACATAGCTAGCAGCTAGCATTGTTGAAGTGAGTTAATGGCAGAAAGTGTCAAAGTATTGAAGCTAGATATACGGCGGGGCACATGATACTGAAGGAGTTGCACATGAGACCTATCACAGCAATACCAGTATCTCGTCTCAGACGTCGAGCTTCGTTGATGGCAGTCCTTGCACAGAAGCAGAAAGCGGCTCGAAACTGTTTTAGTATGAAAAGCAGCTCTTTTGTTGCAGCAAAGAATCAGGTATCCAGCAGCACTTAACAAATCCATGTGAACTGGGCAATGCTCAAGTTCCATCGATTCACCACAGTAGCCAATAGCCTTAAAGCGGTAACGAACAGAAAACTTTCGAACACTACACAGCCCGTAACAAGAGAAGAGTTTACAAGTCGAAGCACACGGAGGCTGGCTCCCACTTCATCTTCGCCGGCAAAGAGATGGAGAAAATCCACGTCCTCTGAGGCAGAGCAGGGTTGGGGCAACCATAGACGATCCCTTCTTAGTCGCGATCTACAATACGGCGTAAGATCTGGGGGAAGGCTATTGCCGTGTACCACGGCCACGATAAAGCACTTTCGCTCTTCAGGGTTATTGGGGCTTCAGCCTTACCCGCGCCTTTTTCAAAGGTATTTAGCAGAAGATTCGTTGCGGGTCCATGGCTGTTTGTCGGGCTATCATAGGTCCCGGGCATATAGGGATAGGGCTTAGGGCTAGTTTAGAGTATCGGGGATTCATGGTTGGAGTTGAGAGCTTAAGGTATATGGGATACATTCATAGAGAAGGTTCCCGGCTAAAAATCTGAAGGCTCAGGCTACCCAGAGTTTAGGGCCGTACCCCTTGAATCATTTGGCATTAGTTAACCCAAAAACATCCAAGCCCGTAGCCGTCACGCCCTGTGTGACCCTGAACCCTTTAGACCCCTAAGCCATCCCCGCAGTGGGCCCGAGCCACCGACACCAAGAGAATGAACCAGTCGGGGATTCGGGTCCTTGGGGTTTTAAAGATCTTTCTTCTCTATGTACATCGAAATCCAGGGACTGTTGGGATTTTTAAGGGGTTGGGGTTTGGGATTGATTTGACCCTGGGGCTTTCTGATTATAAACGAAGGCATCTGCCGCCCCTTATCCCTGGTATGGTCCTCGTCCTGCAGAGTCTTCTGGTGAAACCCCAAAAGGAGCAGCACTGTAATCAGCTGCAAAGGGGCACCCCACTGCAACAGTTCGGGAACCATGTTTCACACTTCTTGGACTGTCTGAGCAAGACATGCACACAATAAGCCACAATGACAAGTCACACGTGCACTCTGAAGTTTCTGGCAGACATGAATTGCAAGAATTGGGTCCGTTTTGGCAACTTGTCACGCTGGCACAGAATCCCCCACCCAGCGACGCAGGTGCTCCATCGAATTTGCAAAGAATGTTGCACAATCAAAGGAATCGTCGTTTCTTCATTTCTCCCTCACTCAAGCCCGAGAGGAGGGCTGCTCGCTTCTTGGAAGTCTTCCACATAGCGGAAGCCTCGCGGAATGAGATGCCCTTCTTCGCCTTCATGCGGTTGATGTACGCGAATCGTTGATCCTTGAACTCCCCTGGCTTGTAGAGGGTCTGAGTGTCAGCAGCCTTGCTGCTGTCCCCAGCGCTACTTTGCTTGGGCTTTTTGCGTGGTGCCTCTAGCTTTGCACAGGCATCAGTCTTCTTCTTCTTCTTGTTCTTTCGGGCTTCTGTTTCGGGATCTTCGTCGTCAGCATGCTGCAATGGAATCTCATCATCATCCTTGCTCCACCTTAACAAAGAAAAACCAAGGGCAGTATCCCGAAATCTCAGATCACACTTCATCCCACACTGCTTGCAAGCCACTGATCGCTTGGCAGGATCGCCTCCGACTTGAACGTGGAAGCCTTCTTCAAGTTCTCCAGCACCTGGGATTATTTTGGAGTTGTGCGACTGCATAGGTATAATATTTACAGGCTTGAAATAGGTGATAGTCAGTGATAGTCTGATTTGTTTAGATTATTTGCTGCTCAAGAACCTTGGGTGGAAGTAGCCTCCCACTTCCGGTGGGCAAACTCGCATCCTCATTAGCCTTCAGCTTCTGCAGGATGCCATTCAGTCGATCATTCATAGGGCGCTCCCTGAGTATACAGCTAGCACGGACACGGAGAGACAATCATAGCACCTGTAAGTGCAACAAATGTACAGCACTTTAACTTAAGTCATGGGGCTTGCGTGTCTTTGGCGGGGCAGGTTCCGAGGCTTCCTGAAGTGTTGCGGGCTTTGGTAACTCAGACTGAGATACACATGACACCGCAAGCAGCACCATCTATAGATAGAGAATGACAGGCAAGAAGCATCCTCCAAGTGTTCATGGGAAGACAGCGCTCGCAGGCTCACATCATCATCATGACCGCCAGCTTCGGACTCCTCTTCCTCATCGGCATCTTCATCCGATGGCTCCTTGCAAAACTTTGCAATAGGATCGTGCTTCAGGGTTGTTGCGGGTATAGTACATTCTAGAATGCAGTTGTTTGCTTTATGCTTTGCAAAAAGCACTTTCCACACTAAGAGTCATCCGGCTCCCGGACTTTGTAAAAGCCATACCCTTCCAGCTCTTTCTTCAAGTTGTAAAGAACACAATGCCGGGCACTTTTCGATCGTCGAGCCAGCTCCTTGAATTTGCTAACCTAAGTGTTGGGCAACTTGCTAAGATCTAAGCTTCCACAATTGCATGACATTTTGACTCTTCGCATATTGCTTCAGGGCTCCAGCTTGCGCAAAGCATTCGAAGCCTTTGTAGCATAATCCACAACTGCGGGAGTTGTTATTGTAACTCCACGAGGCAGGCGCCGGGTCTCGTTGAAGAAATATAGTAATGCATCATTCAGCACATAAGCTGAAAGTCGGGTACGCTTTGTTGAGGTTCCCCTGACGACCGCGGCGATGACCTGGGCAGCGGATGATAGGGTTCAATAGGGTACTTATGGGGGTGTGAGGACCTATATGGTCTTGAGGTTTATAGAATGGAGGCATATATTATGGGTTCAATAGAATAGTTATTCGGGCTTAGGGTAGTGGGGTCTTAAAGGGCGGGTGCTTTTGATATATAGTACCAGAGTGCGAAGCAAGGAGCCCTCGGGTTTGCTATGACATCTTTGCGTGTCACATATTTCCGAAGTCGCAGCAGCTTCCCATTCGGAGACGTGTCTGTAATGATGTTCAATCCCACCTTAGATGTTCGTGAAGAACGAAAACACATGATTGGTGTACATGAAGACTACAAACGTATATGGTAGCTAATTCAATAATGCTAGCTGGGAACATGCTTCAAGGCTGCCTCTTTGGCAAACTCACGCCCAATCTTAACAGCCTCCTTGCAAGGTGCAAACTGCACCTTCTCAGGAAGCTTTGCATCCGCCATGGCCCGTAAAAATTACTGGCCGGCCAAAACAAAACCCTTGTATAGAGCACATCAGGCAGCAGAAGCCACGAAAAAAGGTGGTGTAGTGCATGCATGGTATATATGCATCAGGCAGAGCCCTCACAAAAGCCTTTGCAACACACCCTGGCACCCTGGGGCACTCGATGACTCACCACGATCGACCAGCTGGCAGATTCTCGGCCGGTATGGCCCAGGAAAACCAGTCGGCATTGAGCACCCTGCGTTGTTTCGCAGACTTAATGATTTGCTCCCTAAACGCATGTTGAGTAATTTCGCACTGTCCTGCCTCGAACCCTTTAGCCGGCACGGCCAGCATGGGCGCAGCGCATGGATCAGCATGTACATTTTCGCGAATATTACTTTACGATTTCCTGACATTCGACCTACAGCACAGAGTACCTGCTATTCAGGGTGCTATACACGATGCAGCTGAAACTCTTTTCTCACGATTGTTTCTGCTGTTCGGGATATAGAGCTCGGTTCAAAGCTACAACACAGAAATCTATAAAACTCTGCACTATATACCCAGGCTAGTCTACATCAGACTGTATAGGAAAATACATACCCCGGTCTGCATGGTTGATCTGGTGCATATAGTGCAGAGTTTTATAGGTTTCTGTGTTGTAGCTTTGGTGCAAATCGATCGGATCAGCCAGTGCGCACCAGCTCGTGGCTGACGGGACAAAAGGTCGAGACGACACTTGAAGCGCAAGTCCCTTCAAACTGATCTGTTTCGGCTTTCGGGAGTTTCGGGTTAATAGGGCTTGTCGAAAAACCACGTAAACCTATATGATGTATGTGTGTATATATATTTATATAGAAGGCGAGGATATCCTGCATTAGGGTTAACCCTGTCAGATCTTTCCGAAAGTCGGTTCCACTTCAAGACGCCTGGAATCTTAAGGATGCTTTCAGGCTTTTGTCCACGATCGATTCACCCCTTAAGGGAACAGTGTTAGGGTTTGTATATTAGGGATGGAGATTAAGGTTTTTTCTTTTTTTCGCACTCGATAGATTTTCATGGTTGAGGTTCGTCAGAACCTCAATTATATCCTAAACGCACACCAGCCAGGCCAATGGGGGAAAGCAAGCACAGCCTTTGGCGAGTTTTTGCCGTTCAGTGCTTGCAAATGACAGCATGCCCATGCTGAGCCACCAACTCCACTTATTTTAAGGGACATTTCAAACGCACGCTAAAATAAGGGTCATTTCTAAACGCTACCAGAGGCAGAAATAGAAGACATTTAGTCCACAAGGAAGAAGTCCTGTTCAGATCTGGTGGAGATGCCTTCCAGAAAATTCCGCCGCTCTTGTATGATCTGTTCCGGCCGACCTTCTCGATACCATAACTCTGCATGGCATGGCTTGATCTGCTCTGTTCAGAGATGCTAGAGTCACCTCTGGAAAAATTCCCTGTCTTTGTACGATCTCAAAGCTGCACAGTTATGGGGCTGTCGGGCGACCCCATTTTAAGGCCCGCAAAACACAAGCAATTCTGGCTTCGCCAGGTCGGCCCTCCACAGTATTACCCAATACGAAACTGAAAGTGTACACTTTTGGGGGGCTTATGAACTCAGCATCTAAGTTGCAGAGCACCTTGAACCCCAACCCCCATGCCCAAAACTCCAAATGGCTTATGTCGGGTCCTTACGTGTGGGGTTTTGGCATCCCTAAAACCCTATATATAAACCCGTAAACCCCCAAAACCCTAAACCCCTAAACCGTTTAGCCTAAACCCTTATAAACCCTAAACCCTGAAATCCTACAGAGCTCATTTCGGTCCTGAAGCGTACCTGTGACCTCAAACCCTACAAAATGGTGGTTTATGGCCCCTTAATTCGAGGGTAGAATCCCCTAAACCCTAAAACCAAACCCTAACCCTAAACCCTAAGCCCTTAAAGCGGTAGGTTCTTGGATCCCTTTGAGGTCTGCAAGCATGGCAGCAACACCTTGGCAAAGCTCCGTGAGCAGGTGGGAAGCCAGGGGATGAATTTCAATATTAGGGTTTGGGGATGTTTGTGGCTTTTAGTGTTCGGGGTTTAGGGCTTATGGGGTTTAGTGTTAAGGTGCTTAGAGTTTAGGGTGTGTTTCAACACAGGTTTGGTGGGTATATACTCATATGTCCGTACTAGTAGTATGAGTAATACGTTACCATGCTACTGTAAATTAGAGTGTAGGACTCGGGCTTCCCGTGCGAAGTGGTAGTAGTATCACTTGTTGGAGCATTGGTAGCACAAATGCTTTTGGACTAGTCCTTGAGGTGTTCAAATGAAGCCAACCACTGAAGCACAGCAGCTAAACCCCAAACCCTACACCCTAAACCCCACACCCTAAACCCTAAACCCTACACCCCAAACCCTACACCCCCCAAAACCCTAAACCCTACACCCTAAACCCTAAACCCTACACCCGAAACCCTAAGTTGCTGGCGCCTTGGCACAGGTCTTTGCGGCTGGTTATCGCCAGCTTTCCTCCTGCCTGGGCCCGTCACTTAGAGAGTTGCATCGTTTGATGCCTGACCCTAGGCTTCCAGGGACCCTATTATTGGGTCCTTAAGGGGCCTAGGGCCCTAACTATAAGGTCCTTGGGTCAAAAGAACCCAGGGATCTTCTGTGAAGGGGTTCCATTCGGAATGATAATGAGGAATATCATCCAACATCTCTCCTTGTCGTAGTTAGCAGTCCCTGTATACTGTCTATAATTATAGTCTAGTACCTTATACATTCCTTTGAAAAGTCTGTAGAAAGGCAGATCGTATCTGCATGCCGTACTGTGTAGATCATGTTTTCCGTCTCATGCAGCAATCTGTCAAACGCAGCCAACAAGACCCTAACATGAGTACACGTCTCTAAAAGCATCGAACACCAATCCAAAGCCCATGAAGCGCTCTACGAAGCCACATGAATACCATGAGCGCCAAAGGCAAGCTAGTAAAGACACCTATAAACAATCCCGAAATGAGACCTTACAGTGAACCCTTTAGAATAGGGTTTGGGGCCATGATACTACAGTTATGATAAGAACCCCCACAAAACAGTAAAGGTAATTATTTCGGCCCCTATGTCATAAAACCCTACTATAGATCCCTGATAGACCCGTTTTAAAGGAACCCGTTAAGAGAACCCTACTTGTAGGTTCATGGGTAGTTATAAGTAGGGTTATAAGGCCCCCTGTAGGTAGTTACCCTACTTATAACCCCACTTAGAATAACTACCCATGAACCTCCAAGTAAACCCTAAACCCTATACCCCTCTAGAATCCCTATAGATCCCCTTTAAAGGGGCCCTTAAAGGAACCCTTATAACTACCCATGAACCTCCAAGTATATTACAGCGAACCCCATAGACTCCCAGTCCCTCTCATGTTGTCGAGGACCAGGGCCTTGTCAGCCCGTGTCGGAGGTGACTGCCGGGATCCGCCGCAGCGTTGCGTCCTGAGACGGTTCCTCTGGAGTAATAGAGTGCCATTGCATGTGCCGACATACATAAATAAAAATGTATATATGTATATATACAGGTTGATGTATTTATTTGTTTATTTACAAAATACTTCTTTTCAGTAGCTTATGTTTAAATCTAGCCGAAAGTTAAAGCCAGGTCAGGCAGGGTAAGCTAAGACTAGATTTTGTTGGATTATGTCATAGATAGACCGGTAGAGGTAGACTAGAGGCAGATTCACACAGACGA